CTACATATTTTCTATGTTAGCCGATTTTAATACGGCATACTTTTCCATTAAAAAGCCTTCCAGCATAGTGCTCAAAAAAGCGGATTTTCACAAAATTGAACTATTTGTGACTATTAGGCAACTTTGATTTCAGGATTTTTGTATTTTAAGTCACCCACCCCCACATAACTCTAATGAAAGTAAAAAACCACACTAAACATTTCAATACAAAGCTAAAGAGATCATATGAAGCACTGCCAGAATGACAATGACTAGCTTACAGTGCAAACCAGTAGAAAGAAATTCAGAAGGGGGAAAAAAAATCTGTTAGATTCTTCACTGCAAAATGTAAGTGAACTATTTATTGCCTGGGATCCAGAAATCATTTTTGTGAGGGTTAAGCAGTAAGGTGATTTCACTTTTCTATCAGATAATTTCATCCTACTTCTAGGGAGTGCATAGAAATTTTGCTATTGATTTCAATGTAAGGGGGATCAGACTGAGAAAGAGCTCAGTATCACATAGCATAGACTAAGACCAAGTAGGCCCATTTTGTGATCTCTCCTGTCTATATTTCCGTACTGGCCAGCACCAGTAAATATGGTTTCCTTAGGAGATATGAACACTGCTTAGACATAACAAGGCTTGAAGCAAATGTGACAGCATTAATTCGGAATATCCTTACTCCTGAGGATGTGTAAAAAATTATTATTTTAAGATAGATCCATGCTTAATAATTTTAAAAAATCAACACATTCTCTCTGCTCAGTGTGTAATGATCTTAAAATCTCATTATTACGTCTTACCAAAAAAAAGCCTATCCTTCATATAGCTCCATTTATCACTGCTTAAAACTTTGATAGGACACTAATCTACTCTTAAAATAACAAAGGAGTAGCACAGTAATCCATCAGATACACTATCAAAGTTACAGCACAATGAATTTACTTCCTGCAGGGGGACTATACCTTCATTTGAGTCATGCTCCAAGGCTGTCCAAATGCAACTTAAAAAGCTGCTTCAGTTATTGTTGACGAAACTTAATAAATAAGAGTTCTGACTTAACTGTATTAAAGAATCTTCCATCTACATCAGGTTTCCCTAAAGCCAGAGCTATTCCGTAACACCCAGATCTGACAAATTCTTTTTTCCCCTCCAGGAAAAAAAAAATAGTAGCTTTTCTTAATTGAGTTGATAAGGCATCTTTTATAAATGAGTGAGGTATTAAAATCTCTGTTAAGATTCTCTCCTTTAATATTATAGCTCATTTCCCTTATAAAATCATTAATGGAAAAGAAAGCCCTCTTTGTTAACTCTAATCTTTCTCCCTTGCAACTGTGCCAGAGGCACTTTATTATGGATCAGGTCATGAATATTACAAATTACAGCTGCAATGTGTGGCAACAATGAACTCAGATTATTTATATAACAATAATACTCTTTCTCCTTTGAGAAAAGAAGGTAAACAGTATGCATTGATCTCCAGGACAATATAAACTCAGTTCCTTTTAAATCTTTTCTTTGATATTTACAAATCCAGTTTTCCATTATGAAATAATAGCACAGCACTAAATCTTCAACTGTTGGAGCTGCTACAGAGTTTAATGAAGCCCATACCATTTTTTAGGTCAAAATTCTTTAACTGTGACCAACATGCCAGCATCCCACTATGTGCATATATATGACATTTAAAAAAAAACAAACTTTATAATGGGAAAAAGTTAGCAGGAATCACACTTGGGTAAGTTTCCTACTATAAAAACTGATGTGGCAGACTAATTGTGAATGTATAAAAGCCAGATGCAGGCTGGCACAATCAGGGAAAAAAGTAATGAATTTATAGAAACTGCCTTTGCTATAAATGCAATATAAAAATAGCAAAGTGAATTTCACAGAAATTTGGCGCCCAACATTTTAATTCAGAAAAAAGTGCCCCTTTAGGAGTTAATATATATACACTTTGCGTAACTTTAGAGTGTACATGATAGATTTAAACTATTTGCCTACTTGAAACAAGAAATATGCTGGGAAAAGCCTGTATGTTTTCATACTTGTTGAAGAGCAGAGAAAGGAAAAGAAAGGGAAATCTGAGTACAGAAGAGTTGTTTGTACAGAATTACTATCCACAATATAGCCTTCCACACCCTTCACTTCCAATGAAACACATGTGAAATCAATTCCTTACATGCGAAGCTCAGTTTCAGAATGCATTGCAATGACAATATGACAATATTCTTGGGGCAGTGCTGCCTTCAGGATGTCCTTCTTCACTGTCAAGCTAAATCAAAACTTCAGCCGACACTCATTTACTGGTAAATGAGAGCAGCACAGTCTAATTCAGCACATGCTACCAGTCCCACAGTGATGTGTGCGGTGCTTACAAGCGAACCTTTTGGACCATCTAGCTGCCCTAATGCATTTCTAGCAGAAAAGTTGTCTGTCGATACACAGGTGGTAGGTTTGGGTGTCCCGTCTTCAGAGAAACTTCCTTCCTGGATAGTGCGTGGCATTTGTCCGTGACGTGCAGGAAGGAACCTGATTGGCTGTGCTCATCTAGAAGCCGCTGTTAGAAGGCTGAGGTGATTAGTCAGATAAACTTTGAATTTCCGATTACTGGGAACACAGGCCGGAGTCCTATCCTCTGATTATGCACTAATCTGCTTTTCCCAGGTTTCATGCAATATTGCCTCAAATAGGCTTAGCTTAATACTCATCTTTTAAGAAGAACAGAATTATCTTCTCATTAAAGAATCGGTTACAACAGAAATATGTTAGCAGTTATTAAAGAACTCGGGGGGCAGGGGGAGAGGAGGGAATGACAAATTTCTCTAAATCTACTTTTTTTTTTTTAAAGCAAGACAGAAAAAAGATTAAATTCAATGTGCATTTGCCCAAAATGTGGCAACTCAGTGCTCACCAGATGTTTCTTCAATTTTATCTCTCTTTTCTTGTTTAATTAATAGTTGACACACACTAACACAATGTAAAAGACACCTGACCTTTCCATTTAGCATCCTAATTCAGAAAAGCACCTAAATAAAAAGTGCCATCAGCATGTGCGTTAAGTGCCTTTACTATCTGGGACCTAGGCTAATACTCAGCACCAAATATTTTCTGCATAATTATTTTGTACCTTGTAAAAATAAAACACAACCCTCCCAAATAGACAGAAAACCTATACATGTACTTTCTAGAGTCTTAGCAAAAATTATAATCATTTATGCCCTGATGTAACAAAGTAATCAGGCATATGAGTTGTGTTACAGTACTGTGCAATGTTAAGGTATCAATAATAGACTTTTAACTGCTTTAAAAGGAGTGGTGGAGGGGGCTGCTGCTGGGGAGCACACAGAAGTTGTTGCAATCTAACTATTAGGTCTGCATGACCCTGTAGAGCTACAAGTGAACTAAGGCTCTTTTGATCCTGAATGGAACTGGATTAAAACGGCAATGGTTTTGCTACCTTTGTATCTCTACGAAATTATGCAGACAGGGTAACAACATAATTTATATCAGTTTAATTTGATGTCATACTGCCTCTGTATCTTTTCTGGGGTTTTCCTTTTTTTTTTTTTTTTTTTTTTTTTACTATGACTACTGAACTAAAAATTTGTCTATTTAGTTTTTCCTTAAAGTCCCCTCAGAAAACATTCTACTTTTCCATTCAAAGTATCCAACCACACACAGGAAGTTCCAATAGAAATTAAGAACATGGCTTATATCAGGGTAGTTCAATGTTAAAAGAAGAATGTTTAAGTATCTTAAAGCTACAGGAAGCAGACTTTTTGGGGAGGAAGAGAAATAAAGACCGATATTCAAATCAGTGAGCTATAACTGATATTAAGACATCTGATAATTAAGTGAACATGATAACACACTTCTGCAAATAAAGTAAAAACGTCTATCAGTGAGCACTTCCATACCAAGTCCTCTAGACAGCTGAGCTTTTATGGATTTGAAAACTCCAAATTCAATACCTGCTCTTCTCCACAAAACCTAGTCTCACCAGCCCATCATGAAACAAGACACACCAGAGAACATCAATTTCATCTAGTTACAGACATGAAAGGGTCATTCAATCCCAGCACAAATGACATTTTCTTTGACTTTGTGCTAAAATCAGACAAACTTTAATCCAGTATATAAATTCTTCTGTTGCTTAAGCTCATGTTAAAATGTCTCCACCATTCAATTATGGACTCAAAAACATCAGTAGTAGAAAACCTTTGCTTTCTATTACACATTTTCTTGCATAAAGAATCTTTATTCTTTCAGTATTTTAAATCCTCTAAGAATACAAATGCCATTGAGAATGTAGTGCTTCAAAAGTATTTGTAACATGTGCTAAAATAACTCTGTAGCACAAAGATAATTTCCATCTGAAATTTCCTTTTGTGTGTGTAAAAAGATCAGCTATCAGCCCGTTAGAAATATTTACAAGTCAATAAGACACTAAAATTATGGGGTTTTGTTCTCTTTAAAAAAGCATGGAATTAAAGAGTGATCTACTTGATCAAGCTCAGTGATAAGAAATCAGTTGTTCATTTTAGATAAAAAATACTAAGCAAGATAGGAACAAACGGTCATAAACCCAAATGAATTTAAAGTTCAGTTCTAAAATGCTTTTCAAAGTACGGTGAAACCTTCTCCTACAGTGAAGTGAATATTGCACAGAATTTCACTGTCAGCAGAGGCTCACTATGGCCTGGGTCCTGCAGAGAAATCTGCCCATGTACAATCCCGTTGACTTCACGCACAAAAAAGTGCATCTGTAAAACCATGATCTACGCTGAAAACCACAGCTGGCACATTGCAATACACTGCAACAACTTGTGAATTTCCTTCTGCTTCGCTGTGAACAGATCTCCATTTTATCCGAATTCACTTTAAAGAAAGTTACACTATATACAGCCATTTGACAAAACTGCTTCAAAATAAGAGTCAATAGTTCAGACTGAAATCCACGCCAAAAATCAGCTTTTCCCGTCGGCAAGAATGGCACACAAAGAAAAAACAACACATAAGGAAAACACTAAGACTTTATTAAAAATCCAAAATTTATTGCAAATTGTACTTTGCTTCCCTCCTTTCTTCATTTTTACATGATTTATTGATATCCATGATTTTTTCACAGATGTACTTGTTGACTTTGGAGAGTCTCTGTGCAATTTCCGTTTCATCCACAGTTTCTTGTGCTATTCTGTCGTACAAACATTCTGGAAAAAAACCCAACAAAACAAATCAGGGAGACAGCAATTAAGGATTTTTAAAGAAGACAGTTTAGTCCCATGCTGGATGCTAGTAAATAAAATATGCTCAAGGCACTGCAGAGCCAGCACTTTATAAATAATTTGTATGTTTTAAGTCAAGATTCTGCTGCACAACCAAAGTGTTCTTTGATTCACTGCTTGGGTCATCTATCTGCACAAGCTAATTTTTGCCACACTTGAAATGTTGGCATGATAAGATCACCAATTATGACATGACCACATCACACTGGCTCCAGAAATAGAAACAAGGCTAAGTCCAAACCAAGATGCTACTTCCGCCCATTCTGTCACTGATGCCAGCCTTAACACCTCTATGTGGGCTCATTTAACATCAGAACCTCCTCCCACATATGGAACATCCTTACTAAAGCCAATCTACTCTGCTCTCCTTTAAGTCACTTATCATACCTTTAAGACAGTGGTGTTGGCAAAATAATGGTTAGGAGGGGAAGCAGCAAGGAGGACAAAGATGACATTTGTTCAGCTTTTTAAAACTAGGATGCTGTACATCATACATTAATATGGCCATATCATTTTGGTAGGTCTCTTCCCCAGCCTCTGTATCCTGCTTGCTTCATGAGAGTATCTGGGGTGAAGGTGACCTTCCTGTGTGTTTGTACAATGAGGTACACTACAGTCTCTACTTGAAGAGAGAGACCCAAATCAACAATAAACCTAAAAACGAGGATCTGAAAACACCCTCCACTGTCCCAGAGACACTCTGCACCTTCCAGGATCAGATGTGTTCCTACATAGTCAGAAATGGCATAATACTTTCAACTCCTTAAAAATAGATAGATGTTTTATTATAATTCAGTGTAGCTGGAATAAGCTCTATTGTTGTGCAGGCTACTAGTAACAAATGGCTTCCAAGATTGATTAAACCTCTGCTTTGCTTTGCCTAGTAATCAATTCCAGCAGCCATTTATTGCTTCATATACTAGAAAGCTATAGAGATTATCGCTTAATTAACAAGGTTTATAACATTGCTAATGCATCGTATTAAAAAGTTATGAAAATTAAGTACTGTGCATGCTTTGTAGTTCATTTTGAAACCTCTCAGAAGTTTTATAAAAGGTTATTTTGCATTAACAAGGTTTATAACAGTGCTCATGCATCATACTTTTTATAACTTCTTTATAATATACTACACAGCAGGGATTTTTAAGCAGCTAGAGATATTAGCCATATTAAGAGCTAATTCTGTCTTTTTAAAAAGTATTTTAAATAAGGTATTCTGGGACCAGAAAAGACAGGAAGCATCTGAAACAATGTGAATTTTTATGGACTTCATTGCTTTATATTGAAAAATTTATTGGATATTAAATATAAATAAATAAAACCAATGGGCATGCAGGCTGATAGCTGGGATGCAAATATGCAATAATATGATTTGAAATAATACTGCTAAAAATGAGGGGTTTAACTGAAATCCTGAGACTCACTGTGTTTAGAGCTGAATATTGCAGCAACTTGAATAACACACCTTTCAGCTACAGTTAGTACCAAAAAGGTGGTATCGGACAAACCTATTCAAGGAACCTGCCACATAAATACAGACTAGTGTGAGACTTAAAACACAGTTGCAAACAAGAGATGATGTGTAAATGCGATCAGTCCCAAAGTGACCCCAGGGAACCAGGGCAACAGAGATATTCCAGCAGGTCCTTCCCTTTCCCCCCCACCCCGTTTTCGAGAGGGCCATACAGGGGTGCATCTACATGTGAAATTCATGCGACACAATATGCGCTGGAGTTTATTGCTCCTGGGCACTGTATTTACACGTGTATCCAGGAGTGCAGCACAGTGAGCTAGGTCAAAGCAGCCACGGCTGTCAGGGGGCCCGGTGGTCAGCCTGCACAGCCTGGGGCTGCCCCAAACCAGCTCAACGGGCTACAGGGGGCTGGCTGGGCCTTGAGGGGCCTTTAGTGCAGATGTGCCCTAGGGGTAGTAATTTACTGCTGACATATGGCTGCTGAATTGGGAACTGAAACCAGTGAGCTGGGTCAACTCCTTCCAGGCCCCTCAGTAGACAAGTAGCCCTATTTGTGCCTCTATAACTGGATCCCATATCCAGTTAGTTTGCAGAGATTGTCAGAAGGAATCTTACCCCTTTGCATGGGTGTCTAATCCAAGTTACCAGCCGAGTGAAGCAAGTCCCTTCCCTTAATTTCCTGGCATTCCTCCATTTTTCGTAAAACCATAACTTTTAAACGTCCTATCTGATCACTTTCGAAATTTCAGGGATGTCTCTGGGCAAAGTGCTGAACCCTGTTGGCTTTGGTGAAAATTGGAAAACCAAAAAAACAAGCCAGATTTAGAAGAAACTCAGGTTTACAGACTGTCTGATGATGGACACAACGGAAACTGTCTGCTACATCCTGCTGAGGCTGACTCGTGTCAGAACCAACAACTTAACTTGCTGCAAGGGGAGACTGTATAAGGCTGAAGTTTAACAGACAAAACAGAGCTTTAAGAGGAAGCTAAATTGGGAACTGGGAGCAGGGTGTCTAAAGAAAAAGTGAGGAGGAAGGAAAATAATATGGGTGGATGGAAAGCAAGAGAGACAGCTGTTGGGGGGTTAGTAGGAAGTATGAACCCAGAGGGAAGTAGGAGTGCTAAGAGAAGGCAGGGACATGGGGGAAGGTGTAGGGACCAAGGTTGTGTGTGAAAGGGTGGTGATGTGGAAAGCAAAGGCCTGGAGACAGACATAGTGATGGAAGAGAGGTCTTGGAAGGGGTAGCTGAGAATGGTATGGGGGAGAAGTGTGGAGAGGGGTGGAAGCCAGAATCTGGAGGCTGGAGATGGAGATAGGACTCTGATCCTTTTCCACCATGATCAGCACAAGCCCTCATCCCCACGAAATGGCTGCAATCAGAGGGCTTTCTATGGCATCTTCTTCTGCCACCTATAGACATATTAAGCTCTCATTGGATTTACAGTTCAGGGTGTGGGGACAAGAAAATACAAGACTTGGCCTAGACCAATACAAAAGAGGTGCTGGTGGAGGCTAGTGACACGTGGTACAAAAGGAGCCTGATCAGATGCACCTGCCAGGCTGAAATGCTCAATGGGTTGATGGTTCAGATACAAGGTATTAAGCAGGGATGACAAACAAAATAACAAGATTCTTGTTTTCTGCTTTAAAGATGCAGTGCATGAAAAAGAGACCACTACAATAAAACGTGGTAACTTATTGCTACCTGTATACAACCTGGGATCTCAGCACGTCTCAAGTATTTAAAAAAAGAAACAATTTTTCCCAATGCCCTCTTCCTTCAACCTTGTAGAAGAAATAGCTTGATAGCTTTTAGTAGCAACTAAACTCAGCAAAGAGATCAAGAGGAAGCTACTTGCTTTGATTCCCCATGTACCTTCTACCTTTTGTTTATTATAATCATGCAAACTCCTCAGCATACAATTAACAGTTCCAGAGACTAACTATCCCCCATTAAGTTAGAACCCCTTAGGAAAGAGGTAAGTAGGTTCACAAGCAGCATGCCCAAAGTCTCTCGTCTTAAGAGACCATAATCTATTTGTATTCTATAGTAGTGGAAGCTTTCATGCAGTGATTTGATAGAGGAAAAACATTACAATAACAGCTAACAAGCAGAACTACAAACCCACTGAATCAGTTACCTATAATTCAGACTGCTTTGATCATTTCCAGGAACAATTACTTTGTTTAAGTGACTACTCATGTCTCCTGGGGAGAATTACACAATTATCACCAGTAGAAACTGGTGGGGGACAATCACAGTCACTCACTGGGTTCATTACAACACAGACACTATGCCATTCTTTACTTGTGCTGCAACTGCACTGACAGGCCCCAACCAGCATTGGAATGGAAACCTATACAAAGGCAGGCACAGTCTCAGTCTCAAAATTTCTATAATCTATAGAAACAATGAAACAAAAGAACTGGGCATAACAAATTATAGCGGTTAGGGTGAGGGAATGGCAGTACGATCACATAATACAGGAATCATATTTCCCCACTTCCAAACTACAGCTGCTTCCAAGGTAGAATATAGCAGCTGTTTAACAGCTCAGAAAAACAACACAGAAAACCAAGACACAATAATGCATTTCACTGAAGCTGCTGAAGGAACTTTAGAGGGCACAGCACTTCTTAGCCATAGTGGAATTTGGTCAGGACATAGTAACTAACAACTTAATCTTGGGAAATATTTCACCAGGAATTGGCTCAGTTCTGACATAAGGACGAACCTGCAGAACCACGGAAGACAGTTAGAAGGGACTGTAAAATGCAAGCAGGAAGATGCATGAAGACTGAACTTCAAAATGTATTTACAATAAAGGAAAAGCCCTGCTCTTTCTCAGCAACGTGTGTGTAAACCTGAGTATCGCCATGACTTCTCTTGACAAAATAGGGTCAGTAATCTACATTTTTGGTCAAAATCTACCTTAAGTCTAGTTGCTGCTATTTAACTTCCTCTGGTGCAAATGGGGAGGGGGAAAGAAGCCTGTTTTTCATCTCCCCTTCAACCATGTATATTTTATAGAGAAATGAAAAGGAGTGTTTTCCTATACAAACACTGTGAAATGAGCGATGCTTGTCAAAAAAGCATGCATTTAGAGGGAATAAAGGCCAGTAAATTAAATAATTTCCCTGAAAGCTTGCTGTCCTCAAAACCCATCCTACCCAGAGTCTGCCTGCTGGGAAGTGATGAACACCCTGACCCACCTCTGGCATCAGCCTACAGAAAAAGGTCCTTTAGGCATTGCACCTTGTCCAGCTATTGAAGCCTCCCCTGCCCTTTTGGGGACAATATGCTTTCAAAAGTAGCTTTTATTAAAAGTTTTTAGTGATGGGAAGAAGCATTTTGCTCCTCAGTTCAGGGTTTAAACCCTATAGCACAGAATTCGTTTTCACGAAACTTACCTCTGACGATGCTTAATTTGTGAGGTGAGAGAGGTGGCTTGGGGACTGCATCTTTCTTTTTTTTGGTTGCAACTCCCGTGACACTTCTGTTCTTGAGAACATCTGTTCCCCAAATCATAACCGCTAGATTTTTTGTGTACTTTGAATCTCCTTGTGTTACTTGCAGCTGGTGCCATTTCTCCTCATCTACCCAGATTCCACTGCCAAGATGGACCTAGAAGGTAGTAATGACAATAATGACAACTTTGCATCTATAGTATGTAGTGCACAACCATATCCAAGTGCTGTATGAACAGTAGTATTAGGTACTATAATAATAGTAATTAGGGCTGAGCAAACTCTAATCCTGAACCCTTTCCAACTTTGTGGGCCAGGAAGTTCAAGTCAGCCTCTTATATTATACAGTTCACTTCCCTCTTTGTTTTTCCAGTCCTCTTACTTTACTCCTATGTTATAAACCCTCCCCTGAAAGATTATGATAAAAGAAACAGATATTAGAGGGGAAAAATACACGCCATCAAATCCAGTGCTATATTTTATATACATTTAAGGTGCCAAAATTAAACATTTTCACTAATTCAGACTATTCTTTCTTGTTCATCCTTACTTATGATCTGCTGCAGGGCAGTAGGAATGGTGTTCTACAGAATTTTGTGGGGTTAGATATGGTCCTGGTAGGATTCTCTTCTGTGATGGAGAAACTCCTCTCTCTGTCCCAGAGAATGGAAAGCATTTCAAAATAAAGAAAGAAGAGGCTGCAGCATTTATGAAAAATGTTGCACAAGGATGCAAATAGATACGGGGAAAATAGATGCGTATGGATACAAGTCAGCAACATGCGTCAGTCTAACCTGAGTGTGAAGAAATTGTTCTATCCTTAGAATCAGTATACACAAACTTCTCTTTTGCAAAGAGAATAAAATTGATTCAAATCACCCTTTGAGAGGTGTTGAGGAGGGAAATACATTATGAGCCAAATTCCATTCCT